AAAAGTATATATCTATATAAGATGAAGTAAGAGGACGTTGATTATTCCGTTGTACACGTAAATAATTAATTACGGGGGAGGGAAGGGGGAAGAGAGGGGGCAACGAGTAAAAAACGATAAATATTTATAGGAGCGACGAAGAATAAATTTCGTTGTTCGTCCACCCCTTTGCAAGCTGTACCAAGTTACGACAGGTAAAACTTTCTCGAAACCTGACTGACTGACTGACTGACTGACTGACTGAATTATTGCGAAATTCAAAGAAGGTACAAGGTGATTGCAACTTTGTTGACCAGAACCTTTGCCTGCGCGATAAGGAGAAGGAAAAGAAGAAATGCGCGATGAATTTCTTTTATTAAGATAACGGAAGGTATTGGCTGCACTTTGCTCTCTCGATTTTCTTCATCCGAAGACGGTGCTTTTAAATTGTGTCAAAGGAGAGCGAATCTCCTCCTATTAGCCTATTAAATCGATTTTTTCCTATGTCGGACGATCTGATGGGCGAGACTCTGTCAGGACAATTTGCGAGGAATCGTGAAAGCAACAACTTCTTGCATTCCGCACGTGATATGCCTCTCGTAAAAACGAAGAATGGATATACTCATAAAATGATATGTCACGACTTTTCTGTCCGATCGAATCGCAGACTGATGATTTTAAGAGATATGCGAGACTCCACCTGTCAGACCGCTGTGACAAATGTCGATGAATTTTTTTCCGATCGAAATCTTACTGGGCGCAAAAAACGCGACAGCTTTCGCTACATCTTTCTGCGTTATCTCTACATTACCTTCTCTTCAGCTTCGCGATGCATCTTTATTCTGCGCGTAAAATATGCAACTTTCACTCCCGGCGAATTTGCTAAATATTATTTCAGCACCGATGCTCTTTCGGCGAAGGGAAGAGTGTTTGCTCCGATTTATGTGTGTTTCTCAAGAACGTTACGAGTTTTCCTTGTTGTTGAAGAGAAACGGGGGAAAACGATACGAAATGTCTGCGAAGAAATGTAAGACCTTTGGAGAAACCGCAAACAAATTTGATAGAGGAAGTCGTCGCGGAATTCATTTTTAAACAAGATCCCATTACGAAAAAGATCTCTGTCTTCCCGACGTTTGTATTTCCTGGGAAAGTTTGAAAGTAGACACTCTTGTCTTATACACTCGTAGATTCCGAGAAATTGCGAGTAGCTTGAATTTCGATTCAATTTGAGAAGAAATAGACAAAAGTATGAGAGAAAAGAGTAGAAAGAGAGAGGCAAGGGCTCAAAGTATTGTGTGTATATATATTATATATAATATATAAACCGTATATAACTTGTAATCTCTATCCTTTAATTCCACGCTATTATGCTCATTTTCGACTCGAGTATACCGGCTAATTTCGTCGTTATCGTTATTATCGAGGAAGAAACTCGCGAGTTCTCGTAGCCGAAACTTGTGTGTATTATATTTATGCCCCTTATCAATCGTTTTGCACATACTGATACCACTAGGAGATAATGCACGTAAGATTATACTATTTATGTGTAAATGTGTCTGTGTAATGTATACATACATATTATCTACAATAAATTCACGCTTCGCTAATATTGGCACTTGGACACTTTTCGTTTACCCAACAAGTCGAGAAAGAGGAGAAAGAAATAAAAATAAATGAAGGAAAAAGAAAGGCAGACAGACAGACAGACAGAGACGGAGTTTGATCATCATTTGGACCTTTTGAGCATGGATATGATCGCGTTCGTCGATCGTGGATGGGGCACCATTCGACGACACTTAGGATGGTTTCGAGGCAGTATATAAGACGTGTAGACCTTAACACGCATTTAGAAATAAGGACACTGTCTTTCGTGGTGCACCGTGCACTGAACTCGACTATCTGGACGTTGAACGAACACTTACTCGCAAATAAGTGGATAATACATCCGCGTTTTTTTAGAGCGAATATTCAGAAGAGGAACAATATTACATTTATCCAGCTGATCAGCTGATGCGAAGAGAATCTTTTCCAGCGGTATCTCGAACGGCATTCTTCTCTCTTTCTCTTCCTCGAGTCGTCGAGATCATTTTAAACCTGTGTAAGAGTTTTGATTCCCTTCCAAAAGGTCAGTTTGCGAGAGATATTTTTCGCATACATTTATGTACGTCCTCTCTTTCAACAAAACATATACGCTCACGATCTTACAACTGAATCCATTCTGCCAAACAATCAAGAATAATACAACGATATATCTTCCCTTTCTACTTAGAAAACAGCTATCCCTAAATAACGAGAAAAGTTTCCCTTTCTCGCGAAACATAACGTAATCACACACGATAATCAAGGAGCGAGTTAAAACGTAGGCGGTAAGAGCACTTAAAAATTCCTTGAAAAACAATAACTATATATCTGGACAACGCTCGAGTTTAAGGGAAGCGACGAGCGCGAAAGAGAAACCGGCCTGTTGCTTCGCTTAAGTTAACACGATCGATATTTTCGTATCTTCTATTATCTCTGAACATGGTTTCGGTTCAGTCTCTTTGGCACTTTTTATATACTCTTTCTCGGTTGAATTATTAAAACAATCGATTGGTCGGTCGACAGGGGGGCGGGGGAAGGGGACGAGAGTGATTAATCGAAGCGAGTGTTCTTGCCGAAACTCCGGTTAATTCGTAGTTAACAAAGAATATCGCCTTTCGAGTTTCCCACAACATGATCGCAGCGATATTATTTACAAATTGTACAATTTACAAAGGACTGGTATATGTGGTAACTACAGACGTTGAATGAAAAACGCTCGATTCTCGGTGAGCCTTTATCGAAGCATCGTGTACCAACTCGAATCTGTATATGGCACAGTGTAAAAAAACCGCTAAGCAAGCAGAAAATGTTAGTTTTCACGTCGCTACTCGATAAAATGAGAATTGGAAAGAAATGCAGAAATTGATACATTATATATTTTTCTATTAATTGTATCTTTTTAATCCAAGATGTGTGCAAGGAAAATAAGAATATATATTATTTATCATTATACAAAAATGATAGTTTAAATATATATTGACACCGATTTCTTCATCTTCATTTAAGATTTATGAAAATTTAAATTATATTCCAATTTATATATCAATGCACACACATACTTCTATGCAGATTTAATATTCGCACGCATACATATAAATTTGTGCATATGAAAATATGTTTTATTACAGCGGTATTTATAACTGTGTCGTATATTCGATTAGAAGGAGGTTTTTTCGATGCGAAATTCTTTGACATTTCACCTTACATGTTTAATCGAAATATCGTTTATCATATATTACGTCCTCAAAAAAAAATCGCATAGTTCGCATTTTAACTTATGGAAATTTTATATCTACAATGACTTTTGTAATGTTTTTGTGTATTGCACAATTACGAGAAAAATGATAGTTGTGTTTTTTATGATAAAAAATTCATTCTCGATAACATAACGGATTTAACATTTTTTAATTATATATGTAATATGTGCATATATTATAACATATATATATATATATATATATATATATATATATATATATATACATATATATTAATCAATTATAAATAACTATTTGTTTAAAATCAAGAGAAATCGATGAACAACCCGCATTTATTTAATGTTCAAAATATCTAAAATTTACAAAATCGATTAACAGCATTCAATAATAATACAATTATGCATGTTTGCATTGTATATAAAAGAGAGAGGAAACACAAACATTCCAAACGTTTCTATTATTAGTAAACTGTTTAAATTTAATATTATGTGACAATCTTAAGAATATACTCAGAAGCGGTATATAAATCACATCACGAATGTGCAGAGAAAATTTCAGCGAGAAAGAGATATATTGAGACGATTAAATTCATCATCGTCATATTCGGTAGATCGTCTTCGTGTCTAAAACTTTACATAAGAATCTTATGTCTAGCAAAAATTTCAACTGCTCTCTCTCTCTCTTTATACCCATGGCTCGATGGACGGCTTTGGGTAATTTTATTCAGTCGCCGAAAATATATATATTGAACAATAAAAGACTAAGATTGTCCGGAAGAAGCAATATTTCGCATCGAAGCAGAAGCTGATCGATTAATAATGAAATGTTTAATCTTTTTTTTTTAATCAGTTAAAAAAAGTGTTTCAAGACTAAGCTTTTGTCAGCAAATTTAAAATAACAAATACATTAATAAATATCGAAAAAATACATTTACTACATAAATTTTAGAATTCATTGTTTTATCATTGGATATATAAAATACATAAATATGTAACATAAAAATAAAATTAATTTTCTCAGTATTAATTCAAAATAATGTTCGAATGGAAATTGTTTAATAATAATTTTTAATATGACAGCTAATTAAAAAAGACAAAATTAAAAAATTTTTAATCGTAAATTTAAGTTACAATTCACTAAAAACATTGGACAAATGATTGGAAATCTTGACGCGATGCACTCGATATATCCAGATATCGTCTGTATTTTATCTCAATGATAATAACAATGATTGTGCAATATAGCAATAATGAAAAATAATATTAATTTAATTCAATATAATTAGTGTTAATTATAATTTAAAAAATTATTTTTTATGCGGATTATTTTACGAGCACTGTACACAACATACGATATTGTTCTTTACTGACGATTAATAATTACTATAAAAACTATATATATATATATATATATATATATATATATATATATATATATATTTATATATATAATATCAATCCTTTTTTTAATTTCCTTTTTCTTTTTACGGAAAAACCATTGCGCCGAGCGCATCATTATTTATTCCTTTTATTTTAATTATTTTAATTAAAATTTGAAATTGTTAAAAGACTTATATTATAACATAAAGTGTATGTTATGTCCTTTTACAATTAAAGTCGCTGTTAAACCAAACTGATTTGGTTTCTAAAAGCTTCGTCAATTCATTGTAAATTATTGACAATCCCACAATAATATATAATTCCATTTGACTTACGATTGTTATTGCGCGGTCGGTCTTCTTCAATATTTTTTTTTTTTTTTTTTAGGCTGCTCATCGTCTCATTTCTTTTGTCAACCGACCATGTCTGCTATCATCAACGAAGGAAAAAAAAAGAACGAAGAAGTAATAAAAATTTTATAATCACAAAGTACTACGGTCTCTCTCGTAGGTCTCTACATAGGAAGGTAACTCGCTTTTTTTACACGCCCTTTCTCAGGTTGCGACGAGCAACGCACGAATCGCGCGCGAGAGATGCGTGCCAGCTCGTGGATAAAATGTATATGCGTGTATGTATATGTGTATATGTGTTGCGAGCCAGTTTTCTTTCCTCCTTTCAGCGGACAAAAAAGAAATCCGGACGTGGCACGCGGTAAGCCTTATTATCTCTTGGACCCTCTTCTCGCAATCATATCTTATGTTTTTTTTGTTTCTTTTCTTTTTATCTACGTACTCTCTTAAAGTGGACGACACACTTGGACGTGCGCGCGGTAAGTAACTTATTATAGAGTTTTACTACTTTTTTCTCTCTCGTTGCGCCTTTTCTCTTCGCTTATCAACAATGTCTTCCGTTAGTCGCCGCGGGACTAGCTACAAATTTCCATACATATATGTGTATATACGCACAATTCACATTTCGCTGGTCATCAGAATGCCCTTACTACTATTTTTTTTAATCCGGATGGATTTTTTCCTCTTTTGTCTAATTCTTGAACGTACTCGATTGTCGTCAGCCTTCATCAAACGATACCAAGAACTAGTATTGGTCGAAGTTTGTGCGCGAGCCTTGCCCGGTTTGCCGTGATGGCGGAAAGCCAACAAATTGACAATCGTTGCGTACGATCGTCAATTCTCACGGAGTGGAAGGGAAGAGGGATCAGCAGGAAGAGTATCTCGTGTATCACGATATATAAATTTATCGATATTGCGAGATATTTGATGGATATCGTACAAGAGACCTTGCGATCTCGAGTCATTTGACTTTTCGGCGATAAAATTCAGGAACCATGTGGACCATGAAGAAGCATCAGCCTTGGAATTTGCCGAGAAAATGCAAATTCTGCGACAATGTTGACAGTAACGTACCGACAATCGAGAGGAGGAGGCGGGGGATAAGAGGCGGTCTTTTCAGTTTGTGTCAGTAATGCCGACTATCGAGATCCTCCACGTTTACGCTTGCACTCGTGGTGCTAACTATACTGCTATCAACGTTGTTCGCGGCCGATATCGTCGTTTCATAGTCTATAATCAATTGTTTTATATGGCTTAGCTTTTCGTGCAGGTATTCGAATCGTTTCTTCAATTGCTGATACTCGCGGTTCTGCTTAGTCTCGTTATATTCGCGCACTATCTGTTTCGACGTTGCCTGAAAGAAAAGAAAAAAACCACCACCGTATTAGCATTCGATGTACATTCGTTTTTGTTCGAATAAAACGCGATTCTAATGATTAGAATTATACCTCTTGCTCGCTCACACTGCCCGATGCTTTGTGCTTCTCCAATTGATTTTGCAAATACCTGAAGCGCTCTGCGGTTTTGGTTATTTTAGAGTGCAATACGCGGTATTCATCATAGTTAGCATAAAACTCTTCTTTATAACGCCTTTTCTGTTTCGTGCTGCTTATTGTCGTATAGTACCTGAATAAATATAAAACAATGTAATGTCACGATATTTTACATCGAACAGTGTTAAATTTACTCGCAATAAATTGGATGGAACAAATGCTTGATTTTAATAAGGTTGTTTTCGCAGATTAATACAATCAATAACACAATAGATACACTTACGTGAGATAGTCGGGGTATTCCCCGGGGCTCCCCAGTCTCTCTAGCTCAGCATCAGTCGGCGGTGAAATCGTCATCTCGATAGAACTGGCATTATCATTGCAAATGTGAGCATTGCTGCTGGAGGCTTCGCTTCGAACGAGGGAGGTCGACAAGTTGCTCGCGTCGTTCACGACGCTACTCCTATTTCTGCACTCTCTTTCCCTATTTCTCTCTTCCCTCGCGTCACGACTTCGCTCGCTCCTATCACTCCTGTCCTTCCTATTGGTGCTTCCTACATCATTCGTGTTGCTTCCGGCATTTCCACCGATCGCCGCGACATTGCCGTCGCGTCCATGGCCGCCGCTCTGATGATGGCTATTCCTTTCACTGTCACTGGGCGATGACGTTAGGTATGATGGCCGACTGGAACTGCTCGGAACCGCGAGGGCGCCGCCGTAACCATTTCCAGCACCTCGCAGCACATCACTATTCGCTGTCCTTTCGGTTCGATAATCGGCGCGACTACGTTCACGTTGCTGCCTCGACTCACAACCGTCGAGTTGAGAGCCGCCGTTGCTACTATTAGTACTACCACCACCAGCACTATTGCTGCCACTACTACTATTACCGCCAACGGCACCGCTGACAGTTGCACTAACACCACTGTTGTTATTATTGTAACTGCTGCTATTAGATATCTTTTCACCAGCGGGGATGAAGGAGATAGGTTCGAGTCTCTTGTAGTGCGATATTCGTGGCTTCTTCGTTGGTAGTCCATCGTTGCCCTGGTAGTAGCCCGGTCTCTTATTGTTCAGCAGGCTGGGCGGAGGTGCTGTAATCGCCGGTGGCGAACCCGCGTGGATGGAATTGGGTGATTGACCACTGCCTGTAAGTAAAAATACGTAAAGGATGTATATATGGTTCGAAAAAGATAAATAAAATTTTAAGTAAATGGCGTGTTGATACACGTACCGCTGGAACCATCACTTGAGCCGGGTGGCGTTAGGTTCTGAGGTTTCCGCCTCCTCAGTATTGTTCTTTCCTGCTCGGTAAAAAAAGGCCAATCCTCCTGCACATCATTCCAGATCCACCTATGCAGGATATACGTGTTGTCGCGCATGTAAGACACTTGCTTCAGTATAGTCGTCATGATGGGTCGTTCTTTCTCCCTTAAGCCCTCTGTAATTTATTGGAATATTAATATCGTCGAAGTTATTTCGGAAAACTAAAGAATTCTGATTTTATCTTACCTTTCTTGATACGATCGTAAAGTTCGGGTTTCTTGTAATCCCTCAAAGCAAGGTAGTGGATAAGTCTTTCTCTGTTTTCAAAAAATTATAGAAAAATATATAAGATGCATTCTAATCTAAAGTAATGGAAAAAAATAATCAATCTTTAGTAAATTTCTTTCTTATTTAGAATTTCATTGAGTTTTATCTCATGTACTAATCTGACAACTGCAATCTTACTTCCGCGTCTTTTATCGGAGCGTGACTTATTACTTATACTCGTATCCTTGTATCATTTCGTCAATGCACTTACTTAAGTGGCCTGCGCATAATGTCGGAAATTTTTTTGTCCGGGTTGTGAGTTGCCGCTAGATGATTACTCTTACTACTACTCTTGCTAGCGGTCGCCGGCTTGTTGGTTGACGCTCTGGGTTGACTGCTGCCGGAAGTTGGAATGCTCGTCGTAGATTCCCGATGCTTTGCATACGATGACGGAAGTTGTATTGTCCTTCCGGGTATTTTCACTTTCACCTTGCGTCCGATGTCTGGACCATTCGCTTTTATCACCCTCGTACTGAAAAGCAACATAATTGTCATTGAGATGAATGCAAATTGAATTCGCATTAATCTATATTATTATTTTATCTAGGGCAATCTAATTATTTAAGTAATACAAAAAATTAAAGCCAGAAAATTCAATTTAAAAAAGAAAAAATTGTATATTTAAAGCTGTTGAACTGTTAAATTAATTTCTAACTTATTTGTTTATTAATTTGAAGGAAAAAATGATCAAATATACTTTATGTCATCGTGCTAGTTGCAGGAGTAGAGCACGTTTAAATAGAACACAATGATCTCTAACATTTCTTACGTATTTTTAACACCGGTCTTCTGTGCGATCCCATCGTGTATCCGTACAATTAATGCAATTTGCAGCTATATAGGGATCCGATCGATCGGTTATGCAATTTTCCACGTCGCGATAAAGGCACCGCGTTGGTTGGCGAGGAGAGGCGAAAAAAAAGTGTTCGAGTTCGTGACGAAATTGCACTTGTGAGGCGCTCTTAACCTTGGCCGTGATGTGACGACTAAACAAATTAGCCCCGTCGTCGATGCAGACCCGTCGAAGTGCAAATATTACGCGCTAACATTTGCAAAACTCGATCCCGAAGAACGTTTTGTGTGTGTTCCCGTTTAAGAAAATTTGTAGAGACGACAAGCGCTTGTTTTCTGAACAGACAACTTTCTTTTGAATTAAAGTAATGCAAATAAAATACGTATGCGAAATCAATAGTACTAATTAAATTAAATTAAATCTATTATTTATTCTAACCGAAGAAGTGCAAATATATTTGTAAGCAAATGTAAAATATTTCGAAAGCAACTAAGATCTCTGGAATTTCGTTTAATTTAGGGTCAACAAACTGCATTGCGAGATACCGACGACGATGATATATTCGAGGTACCTGTCTGTTGAAAGCGCGCATCCACGTGCATGCAATTTTCCGCGAGTTTCCGCGACGACGACGTGTTCGCGGCTCGTAAATTCCTTGGTGAATCGCGCGAACATCCGTTAAGCGCGACCGTATCTACGGGCGAAAGTTTGTAAAAGTAAGGCCACGACGCCGAGCATTATTTACGGTTCCGCGAGGCTCGACGAACCGGAGAGTCGGAGAGACAGGAGAGGCACGCGCGGCTCTCGCGCTTCTTTTCTAAAAAAAAGAAAAAGAAAAAAAGGAAGAAGGATCTTTCTCCGGAAAAATCGAACGGCCGACGACGACCGTACGTCCTGCTACTCGTGGGAATATCCGTACCATTTGTTCTTGTTATTCTCCTCGGCGACCGCCATTCTGTGCCTGGTGGTCTCGTAAACGTCGTCGTTTGCCTGTATCCGCATTTTGCACGGTATGGCGCCGAGGCTCTCCAGACTTCTACGAAAGAGAAGAGAAAAAAATAAGAGAAATCATTTTTTTTAATTAATTACATTTTCCTTTAACACCGAGCAGACGGGTAAGACCACGCGAGACTAAAAATTATTATACATGTACGAGATTTCAAAATATTATATACATATCTAGTTTTTTGTCAAATATAGAAAAATTATTATCATTATCGTTCCATTTATTAATGCAAAACATATGTATGTAATACTACACGAAGAGGATTTTATAAAAGTTTCTCTGATTAATATTTACCACAATAAAAATATTAATATGTATATAGTAAATTTTATGTTATATCTTATTGTGGTAGGTATTAATATTTTTATTATCGTAAATATTAATCAGAGAAACTCTTATAAAATTCTTCCAATACCATATTATTCCACGATTACCATGATTTTCAGGGTAAATTCTAAGAGAAAATTCTCTCTGTGTATTTAACACTTATACGCATAGTATATCGGGTTAAGTTATTATTTGGAGAACGAATGAAAGCTGTGAGCAACTCGGCGAGCAACAAATTGAGAAAATCATAATTTGCAATTATATTTTTAATATATTAATTCATAATATCCTCGGGATAGTATCGTCGACGTGAGAAGTACTAGTAGTCGCTGAATCGGTTCTGCTGACGCAAGCATAACCGTTCAATGATGCTGTAGTCGTCAGTCGACACCTGCTAGCTCACTAACAGCGCTTTAGTGTGTCAAGTTGCCGCGATAAAACCACCTGCTCAAGGATGCTCCAAAGTTTTTTACACAGCTCGGTTTAGATTGAGGGGATTACGTTTGAGAAGATTACTTGAAATTACCGCATCGTGTGTCGAGTCCATTCAGCGGAACATTATTTCTCTCAGCTATGGCGAATCTTGCGCGTGATAGCCATTATGTGACACATATACAATATTTTCCGCCAAGGTATAATAACAGCAGAAAATCTTTTCGTCGACGCGATGAATAATCGCGCGCGATATTTAATTTAAAAAATTTTTTTGAAATTCCATTTACTCTGACTCTTAAATGTATGAATTGAATTTATCTACTTGGCAAAGTTTGTTATACCCCTATAATCGATACGTACTTAGGGCCAGTTTGACGGACGCACTCGAAGCCGCCCTGGGGACCCTCGATGTCCTGGTTGCTGGAGAGACTGAAGGTGAATCCGATAAGTCCATGGCTGGATGGAATGCTGAGTTTCTGAAATCAGAACACGCAGAGCGTACCGGTTAGTCCGTCGTCCTCTTAATAAGATCGCCTTAAATTACGAAACGACGGGGCTTACGCGATAGTGTCTCTCTACACGACCTGCCATATACATGTATCTCTCTCCCGTGTTCTCTTTTCTCTCGCAACCGGTATATACTCGCCGGGATACATGAAGCTCATCCATATATCCATTCCAGCTGTTTTAATACCGATCTCACTCTCTCTTTTTTAAGTTAAAACAAATTTTACGAACTAACACAACGCCATTATAAACTAAATTTCACTAACTTTCAAATTTGATCTCTTCGAAAGATTTAATTAGATTAGTGTTGTCAATGTTTCTTCTCGATTTTAGCACATTCGATGACTTAATCAAATGCACCAAATGTCACAATTTTAATGTTAAAGTACACGAAGATAATTTTCTTTTAGAATACCCTCTCATGGGACAATGTGATGTTACAAGAATTTTGTAAGAGTTTGTCTGATTAATATTTACCAAATAAAAAAATATTAATATAATCTTTTCTATTCCAAAAGAAAATTCTCTGTGTAAATTCAAATAAAAAAAATATTAACGCACAAGTTTAAATATATAAATGTGGATAGATAATAAAATTAAAAAAAAGACGAGAAGCTCTATTGATTCGCTTATATCGTAACGCGAGTGAACTAGTGACATTTACCTCATTTATACCGAATTACACTGGACTAAACTTGGGGAGCAGCGCTTCTCGTGTAAAATGTAAAACGTATTCGCGATAATGTCGTACAATTGGCGTCTTTTTATCGAGCTCTATATTTGAGTAGCACATGTTTATCGATCTCTACTCGATATTGCGAAAGGAGAACATTGCGGCCACGTATCGTTAAGAAATTAGCGCTTAATTCGCGCAAATTGCGAGTAATCGCGGTCATATAATGGTTATCGATCAATCTCGACGTTGAAAAGACCGACGAGGCTAATCGCGTCCGGAAGTAAATAAGAGTCTAATCGGATTGTCGTCGACGCAACATGACATTTCGACATGTCGATCGGATTAAAAGGAATTCGAGCGATCGTGGTGTCTCTTCTATAGACTGGTTAAATGCATAAAATATTCTTAATGATTCTTAATTTTCGCGAAGATAGAAGAGCATAAGACTAATGCGCGATTGTATAGTTGAAATAATTCCCTTTCAGATCGCAATCGTTGATTATCGCAAAGAGATTCGACACTATATATATATCGACTGTACGTGAGCTATTGCTCATCTGTATGGAGCGCATTGTATGCAATGGCTTGTCGATAGGTCTCTTCCCCCCTCCCTCGTTCGCAAACGAGTTAGCAATATAATATTTTCTCGATATAATATAATCAAGCAAGGAGAACCTTTCATATTTATCCTGAAGAAATCTGCGTGCGCACCTTTAAGGTATATACAGCGTCGAGACTCTATCATTAGCGCGAATAAATTGAAAGTGAATTTAGTGGTTTTTTTTAAATTAAGTCAGGGCATTCTCTCTCTTGTGCAGCAGAATTAACTGCAGATTGACGCAAGTGCGAACGGGCTGGCGTCTTTTTTTCGCGATTCAATTTCATCGAAAGCCAGTCGAGCGCGACTGACCATTTCGCAACTTTGGGTATATAGGTATCTCCTCCTTGTTCCCGTTGTTATTTCGCCCTTCTTTCTCACCCTTATGTCGTGCTACTCTCCTTCCTTTCTCCTCACTCAACATTCATTCTTATTTCTTTTATTTAGAATATATTATAATTACGAATGCACGACGCAACATGCATCACGATGCATCTATCAATGAGGTGACGTCTGACAATTTAAATGAGAGCTTCGAAGAAGCAGGCAATCAATTTTTTTTTAAATAAAACAAAAAAGAGATCCCAAGAAAAGAAGAAAAAAAACTCATTGTTTACTCCGATTTTGTTACTGACAGCGGCGCAACGCGACAGATGACAGATTGATATACATCTAGCGTTGCAGAGACCACGTGGTGAGAGAAGGTCGACGCGCGATGACGATGAGCATCGGCGAAACGATGGTGACGACGATGACGAGACAATACACAGCGGCACGTAATATCGCTCGAGAGGGACTTCTCTCACGGACATTCACGTATCGAGGCCATAGGGGCTCCTCCGAGCGTCCAGGCCCCCTTCCACCGATCAGCTAGGATAGACGTCGTCGTCGTCGTCGTCGTCGTCTTTTAAACGAAAGGTCGAATCGCACAAGAATGCGATATGAAAGTTTTGTGAAGGGAGCGCGATCGGGAGCGCTCATTTAAATTTCATTGCACGGAAGGATGACCGATCTCTGTCTGTCTGTCTGTCCGTCTGTTGTCTGACCGGTCATCTTTCCGTTCGTCATGTAGCTTTATATACCGCGATATATTCGCGTGTCGTATAGACGAGAGAGAGAGACAGCCCATTGTGCTTCGTAACACGGGTTACTCGTCGCCGGAACATCGACAGCAGCAGCTGGTTCGGTTTCTCACGCCTGATGCGGATGCATGGGAGAATCGAGATCCCGCGGAGGTCCCGATCGAGAAAAGAATTACTCGGAAATTATTACCCTCAGGGGTCAACCTCAATGAGAACGGCGGTTTTTCAGGGTTTCCTCTCTCGGCCGGTTCGAAGCCTTTCGTTCGTCACGTTTTATTTTTCCAAGTATAATAGGTGTATATAATAAAGTGCAGTGCGGAAATTGCAAAATTACGATATACGTATACGTATATCGATAATATATTCCACTTCAAGTGTTTTGACAGCATTTTAATTAGATATTTATAACATAAGATATATGTATAATTGAAATGAAGATTTCATGAAAGGAAATTCTGATCTCACAGATTAATCGGAAAATCTATAGATCAAAGTTTATCAGCATTTCTCGGAATCGTGATGCATAACGTCATTGAGAATCAATATTGTGAAAAAATGATTGCACTCTATCAAGCTTCCATTTATGCCGCATGTACAAAGGCGTAACGAGTCGGACAATGCGCTGATGTCTCCGTCCCCTTTCTCTCATTTTCTCCGTCTCGCGTATCGGATTGCATTTTTCGCAATTTAAATAAGTGCCGGCGCGGATAGGGATAATTTTAACCGCCACCGATTTATTTCGGTATGCTTTACACGAATGGTACCGGAGACCATATAGTGGTAGACCGCCCACCCCCTGCTCACGTTGCCAGATTGAAATTATTTCGGTACTTAAGGCCGCAGCAACAGCTGAGCAACAAACGAACACGAACGGTAATCGCCGCTCGTGCGGCATTCGCGACATTCCAGCGCATGTCAGAAGTCGCCGCCGATATCGCCGCCTGTATCACCACCGGGTTGTTATACGAATATTTTAAATAAATTAACAGCCACATCAAAACATAGCAATATTTTTCTCGCTTCGCAAAATCCATGTTTTCGTACATCGTAAGATTTTATATATATTTAATAGAGAATTTCTTTGCAATAATTTTTACTTTATTCGACCTGTCAAACGAATGGGTTAACGAAACATTGTAAATTTGTCAAAAAAAAAAACAAATAATTTTAACACATATTTTTTTTAACGTGATTCTTAATTAATTGTCATTTTATTCGTCTACCTACGATTGGAAATTCGCGATTCTGCACACAGCACGTAAATATCATCATTATTTGATGGACAAGAAAATGTGAATATTTTGCTATTTGTGGCTACCGTGTATACAAGAGAGAGAGATTCCCGGTCGACGAAGGAGGCAATCATGGATGCACCACGATAAAAATTACGAGCAATTATGGTCGTCCGCCGTATCGCTGACGCAAATGCAGTAAATTTGCTAATGAGCCTTATCTCCTCTCAATTTACACGCCGTCGAGCGGAATATATATATATATTTCTAATCCCGATTTATTATTATATTTTCACCGCGAATAATTTCGCCGTCATCAATCGTCGCGTAATCAGTGATTTATCAAGAAAATCCGAAGCAGAGCGATATGCATATTTGTGACACCAAACAGTTCATTATTTATGTATTCTTAAGTTATATATGAATGCGCGTGTGTATATAAGCGAAAGATGGAGACGATAATTTACAAAAATGTTAATAATTAAGCTTATTTATTTCTTTGCGAACTTTATGTCCGACGCAGTGATATAAACATCGCTCAGAGAATTCTTTGAAGAATCGGATATATAAGTGCACACGTCGTATATATACACATCGGAGTCGACGACTGACATGCGTGTAAATAATAACTCATCGTACACGTCATCGAAGAAAGATGAAAAACGGAGCCGTTTCTGTTCGAAAAAATGCGGCCAAGAGATAAATCTTCTCCGGAAGGAATCCTCGATCCGCCGCGATGCAAAATCAAAGATATCGAGAAAATAAAAATTCTTCCTGTACACATCCTAAAAATAAATCCCCATTTGATCTTATATTAGAGAAATCGGAGATTATCGAACGAGATATTCCTCAATCGCTTACACCTATATCCTTATCAGAGAATTCATATAAAAATATTTTTTCTTCGCTTTCCCCAACATTGATATCCTCTTCTCTCTCCTTTCTCGTCCAAGGCCTCCATAATTTGTTTCTTGAAATTTTCTGCAACGTCGGAGGAGCACTTGGCTTCGAGCAAAGAGCAACCGGTCAACTGAAACGACCCCGCGGCGAGATCGATCTTCGATCGACGAACTCGGGAGGGCAACTTTCACTGGGCGACCCCGCTGTCAATATCACACAGAAAAAGGGAGACACGCATGTAAGTGAGAGACGTGTAAGACCCGTGAAGATTCGCGAAAGCGCGAAGCAACCGGCGCATGGTGGATGACCTATCTTACGGCTTATCACTTAAATACACGTGACGACCTTAGACACGCACGAGCAACGCTCGAATATGCGGCCGAGATTTCTTTTTCAATTCTGCGTGCGTGGGATGTTTTGTATGAAAGATGTGTGTATGTGTGTATATATGTATATATATATATGCAGATATCTGTACAAGGTCTGATTCAAGTTTTCAATTTTTTATCGTTAATCAAACTACGTTGAAATATTTTGATTTGATTTAATTAATTTGTATACTACATTTTTATTTCTCTTTGTGCCCTGGGGATGTC